ATGCATCAGTCAGTATATTCTCCCCCTCCTCTAAATTTGCTTATTTATATATGTGCTGTATCCTACCACCACCCCCCCAAAAGTAGAATATAAGCTAATTGAGGTTAGAGACTGTTTCACTCTTGTTTTAAAGTCCACCGTTCCTGGCATATAATTTTGAAGCCTAGACAGTGTTTTGTACATGGCAAATGCTTAGCAAGTATTTGTTAAATTTTATTGTATTTATATAGCTCTTTGAAAACTATTGCAATTTTCAAAGCTCGTGTATGTGTAAATATACATGTATGTATAATTCACATTAACTTGATATTTGCAACAACCCTTTAAGATTGGTAGGACAAATATTAGTCTCTTCATAGCTTAAAATTAAAGTCTCTAGTTCAAAGTCAAACAGCCTATTTGTGGCAAAATAGAGACTGGTGCCCAAGTTTTCAGATCCTGAGTCCAGGGAACCCTGATTTATAAGAACAGGGTGGGCTTCTTTACTGTGCTTTTTTTTTTTTTTAATTTATTTTTTTGTTTTCGACATTTACTTCCACAAGATTTTGAGTTCCAAATTTTCACCCCATCTTGCCCCTCCCCCCACCCCAAGATGGCATGCATTCTAAATAACCCTGCCCCTAGTCTGCCTTCCCTTCTATCTCTCTTCCCCTTCTCTTATCCCCTTTCCCTTCAATTTTCCTGTAGGGCAGGATGGATTTCTGTACCCCATTTCCTGTATTTCTTATTTCCCAGTTGCATATGAAAACATTTTTTTTAAACATGTGTTTTTAAAATTTTGGGTTCCAAATTTTCTCCCTTCCTCCCTCCCCACCCACCCTCATTGAAAGGCAAGCAGCTAAATATAGGTTATATATGTGCAATTATGCAAAACACTTCCATAGTAGGCATGCTGTGAAAAACTAACTCTATTTCCCTTAATCCTATCCCGCCCACCCATTTATTCTATTCTTTCTTTTGACCCCTTCCCTCCTCAGAAGTATTTGCTTCTGATTACTCCCTTTCCCAATCTGCCCTCCTTTCTATCATTCCCCTACTCTCTTGTCCCCTTCCCCCCCCATTTTCCTGTAGGGTAAGACAGATTTCCACACCCAATTGAGTGTGTATGTTATTCCCTCCTTAAGTCAAATCCCATGAGAATAAGATTCACTCATTCCCTCTCACCTTCCGTTTCCCATCCACTGTAAGAGCCTTTTCTGTTTTGTTTTGTTTTTTTTGTGGGATAATTTACCCCATCTACCTCTCCCTTTCTCCTCCTAGTATATTCCTCTCTCAGCCCTTAATTTTATTCTCCAGATATGACCCCTTCATTTTTAACTCACCCTGTGCCCTCTATTTATCTATCTATATCTATATATACATACATATAATTTTTTCCCCTCCAACTACCCTAATACTAACAAAGGTCTCATGAGTTACAAATATCATCTTTCCATGCAGGAATGTAAACAGTTCAACCTTAATAAGTCTCTTACGATTTTCTCTTTCCTGTTTACCTCTTCATGTTGCACTCGAGTCTTGTATTTGAAAATCAAATTTTCTATTCAACTCTGGTCTTTTCATCAAGAATGCTTGAAAGTCCTCTATTTCACTGAATGACCATTTTTTCCCCTGCAGGATTATACTCAGTTTTGCTGGGTAGGTGATTCTTGGTTGTAATCCTATCTCCTTTGCTTTCCGGAATATTATATTCCATGCCCTGCGGTCCCTTAATGTAGAAGCAGCTAGATCTTGTGTTATCCTGATTGTGTTTCCACAATACTTGAATTGTTTCTTTCTGGCTGCTTGTAATATTTTCTCCTTGACCTGGGAACTCTGGAATTTGGCTACAATATTCCTAGGAGTTTTCCTTTGGGGATCTCTTTCAGGAGGAGATCGGTGGATTCTTTCAATTTCTATTTTGCCCTTTGGTTCTAAAATATCAGGACAGTTTTCCTTGATAATTTCTTGAAAGATGATGTCTAGACTCTTTTTTTGATCATGGCTTTCAGATAGTCCAATAATTTTTAAATTCTCTCCTGGATTTATTTTCCAGGTCAGTTGTTTTTACAATGAGATATTTCACATTGTTTTCTAATTTTTCATTCTTTTGGATTTGTTTTACAGTGTCTTGATTTCTCATAAAGTCACTAGCTTCCAATTGCTCTATTCTAATTTTTAAGGAAGTATTTTCTTCAGTAATCTTTTGGACTTCCTTTTCCATTTGGCCAATTTTGCTTTTTAGGGCATTCTTCTCCCCATTGGCTTTTTGGACCTCTTTTGCCATTTGGGTTAGGCTATTTTTTAAGGTGTTGTTTTCTTCAGTATTTTTTTGGGTCTCCTTTAGCAAGCTGGTGATTTGTTTTTCATGATTTTCTTGCATCACTCTCAGTTTTTCCTCTACTTCTCTTACTTGCTTCTCAAAATCCCTTCTGAGCCCTTCCAAGGCCTGGGACTGATTCATATTTTTCTTGGAGGCTTTGGATGAAGGAGCTTTGGCTTTGTTGTCTTCTTCTGGTTGTATGTTTTGATCTTCTTTGTCACCAAAGTAAGACAATATAGTCTGACTCTTTTGGCGCTGCTTATTCATGATCCCGGCCAATTACTTGAGTTTTAAACTCTTTGTTAAGCTAAAAGTCTGCTTCCAATGTGAAAGAGTGTACTGTCCCAAGCTTCGGGGGTTTGTACAGCTGTTTTCAGAGATACTTCTAGGGACCTGAAAATTTTCAGTTCTTCCAAGGTGGTATGATAAGGGGCGAGGTGTTTCCTCTTCATCACCACTACAAGCTCCACCACACCAGCATTCTCCTCGCCCCAGGACTGCCCCTCAGAACTGTGACCCAGATTCAGGCACAGGCAAAGTAAGAGATTCCTGCCTCAGCACTGGCAGAGAGATCCTTGCAATCCCCCTGTGATCAGCCACTTGATTCCCCCTCAGTCTGTGGGCCGGGAGCTCAGGAAACAGTCGCTGCCCCAGGCCACACTCGAGACTTGCAGCTAAGACCTAGCTCCTCTCTCACTGCAGTCACAGACTTTTCCCACTGACCTTCCACGTTGTTTTTGGCGTTCGGGGGTGGAGAAGTCTGGAAACCACCACAGCTGCCCGTGATTCAGTTCTCTGAGGCCTGCTCCAGGGTTGCTGGGGCCTGTGTGCCCACACCTAACTGAGCTCCTCTCCCCGCCTGGCGCGATATACCTTTCCAGTCAACCATGCAGGCTGTCTTTGGCTGGAAATTTATTTCACTCTGCCTTTTTGTGGGTTCTGCTGCTTTAGAATTTGTTTAGAGTCATTTTTTTAGGAATTTGGAGGGCTTTGGGAGAGAGCTCAAGACAGTCACTGCTTTCCCTCTGCCATCTTGGTTCTGCCCCCTTTACTGTGCTTCTTAAAGTTGGAGTTAGTTCTTAAAGTTCTTAAAGGTTGCAAATTTGAAGTTACAAAAATTCTGCTTCAGAGCAAGTGCAAACTTATTAGCATGTTATTCTGCAGCTGAAGGGATTGATGACAGTAGCCCCAACGAGGGAGTTGAGCCAGGATGGTCCGCCACTGTAATACACTTGTCAGTGTCTGTATAAAAGCATGCTTTCCATGTAGCTATGAAATATGCAGCTTATCTTCCCCCCAACACCTTCCCCCCTGCCCTATATTTTATAGCTATGTGGAAGGAAAGCATGATTTTAGATCTTGAACAAGGATATTTGAATTGTTGTATTATAATTGTTAACTGTTCTGGCTAGACGGGCAGCTAGGTGGTACAGTGGACAGTACCAGGCCTAGACTCATCTTTGTGAGTTCAAGTCGAGCCTTAGACACTTAACTGGCTGTGTGACCCTGGACAAGTCACTGAACCCTGTTTGCCTCAGTTTCCTCATCTGTAAAATAGTCTGGAGAAGGAAATGCCAAATCACTCTAGTATCTTTGCCAAGAAAACCCCAAATCAACAAGAAGCAGCTCTGGTTAGATCACGTTATGGGATCTTATACTCTGACTGCCTCCATCTCACCTGCAGGAGAGCATGCTACATTTGAATTTGTTGGGAAACAGAATTTTTGTCATTTCAGTTCATTCTGTCTCCCTAAATTGCGTGGCTCACCTACTGTTCTGGTACCCTGGCATCCAGAATGGCTAGTGGAACAACCGCCAACTGTGGAATTACTGGATGAGGATTCAAATCCTAGTTTTGTCTTTTGCTGGATGACTTGGGCAAGTCACTTCTTCACTTTCCTGGGCCTCAGTTCCTTCATGTGTAAAATAAAGGAGCTTTCCTGGATGACCTTTCCCTTCTAGCTCTATGGTCATCTGAAAATATGAACCCTGTTTGAAATGTGCTTTTAAATGCTACCAATGCAGTCAATGAACATGTTTCGTGTGAGAATTTATAACTATTGATATCTAATACTTCTGATAAACAAAAGTTAAAATTGAATGGGTTGGGAACACATTACTGAGAATATTCTCTAAGTATCAATTTCATTTTACTTGTTTTTTATGTCTTTGCTGTAACCACAGAAATGTTGGGGTGGGGGGAAGATATAGAATTGCAACAAGCAGTTACTATAAAAATAGAAATCAGTTTAGTGTAAAATTTAAAATTTTCCCTCAATGCTGAGCTTTGGGTATTTCCATCATCTTGGTCATCTTGTTACTAAATTAGCTGGCATTAGGTTGATTTGTCACTATAGAACACTGAAATGCAATTAGTATGATTATAAGACTATCAGAATCTACTTTTATGGGATAGCTTTTCATAGTAAGCATTCCGCATATATAAAATAGTAATATTTTAACAGTTGCTACCTCTAGGTAATATCAATAAGACCTTTTTAAAGCACCTTCCAAAAAAGTAAAAGAATGCTTGACATATTTAAAGCCAAATGACTTAGAACAATGGTACTGATCCATCTGTGAGGTTAGAATTAACTCATAACTCCAGTATTTTTCATGAAAGCAACTGACTTTGGTTTTGGTTTTTTTTTTTTTCCATGTTTCCCTCTTTGAACCTCGATGGCCACTCATAAAATAGTACGGTAAGAAACCTGTTTGTACTTCATTTCAGGGACTTACAGATTTACTTCATTTTCAAAGTTATGGACACCTGACCTGACTCCCTTTGCCTGAGATATCATATCTAACCACCTTGACTGGTGAGTTATGGATTAAATATGCCCCCAGTTTTACCTCTCTTCTTTTTTATTCCATTCTGTCCTGACTTCTAAGGAGAAGTGATTCTCATGGAGTAGCTTTTCCCCTACTCCTGTTTATGTACAGAGAGCTTACAGTAGTTTCCATTTTTACCAGTTAACTGAACTCCCCAACCAGGAAGGTCAGGCAAAAGTAGGAGGTACTTCTTTCTCCACAGAGGTGTTGCCATGACTATACTTGAGAACCATTATCCAAAACATTATGCCATATATTACGGCATCAACTCTTTTAACACAGATATCTGTTCCAGAGCTGTGATTACATAAGGTTTTTTTATCTTAAAATAATCTGTTTCTGTTCTGAAAAGCTAATCATAAAATTCCTTATTTTTCCAGAAAATCTGGTTACTGAATGTTTTTCTGACTGAGCATAGATCTTATATATCATAGGAAAAGAATTCAGATAACAGTATTTTGCTAGGAAGAAACCATGCCTAGTAAAACTAAAAGGTTAGATAATTTAGGGGTCCAGAAATAATCTCCATCCATCCATCTATCTAGTTTCACTGATTTAGGTAAAGTGTAGCTGTGGACTATTTACTGCTATTTCTCAGAATGGAAACATCTAGAGAGTGATTTGGAGTAGATATTAAACTGAAATAAGTTACAAAGTCACTTTGTGACATAAGTCACAAATAGAGCAATTTTAAAGCTAAGTGCCTTTTATTTTTAACATAGAAATTAAATTCTTTCACTGCCTTCTCCCCCCATTAAGTTATATGTGTGTGTATGTATGTGAATATGTTTATGCATATGTGCATAAATATAAAAAGTATTTGCAAAGTAGATTTCCAGAAATTAAACTTCAGGTGATCAGCCTTAGCCCCAAGAAAACTTACACACTGAGCAGTTTTGTAAAATAAATTGTAGAAGTCCTGTGTAGGTTTTTCCCCCATGCTCATCTGTAGATAAAAGATAATGCCAGCTGTTATTTGTCTACATTTATGTAATTTGGGACTGTAATTGTTTTATATAGTAAGAATAGACAGAGAACTTCAAATTAACAGTAAATTTTACAGACTTTTTTCCTCCATTGTGACTATTTTATCAACCATAAATCTTGGAAACATCAGCTTAAAAAAAATCTTGGGCCATCTCTGCCCCATGCCACCAGAACCCCCAGCACAGTGTAATGCTGCTATTTCCAAAGTCTTTGCCAGCCCCTAACTTGAGATATCCCTAGAGCCACATGCCACAGGCCTCTTTTGTCTTAGTAGCAGCCATCTGTGGCAAGAGGCAAATCAGCACCACACCCCCGGGAAGGCCAACAACGCTGGCAGCATCCGCCTAGGCAGGCTCACTAGGTCTTCCAGTATCCCTGAGTTCCTCAACAAAGTGGCCACTTGGAGAGTCAGTAAAGAATGTAGCAGAGGAAGAGAGATACAGCAGAAAAAAAGAGGAAAATAAAATAACCTGGGTTTAGGAAGGCGTGATAAAATGAGAGAGTTGGAAGAAAGAAAGACAAAAAAAGATGTGGGGGGAAAAGTGAGTTGGAAAAGGAGAAAGTCTGGGTAGATTGGTTGGAGGGCTGGGGAGGGGGATGGGAGGAGGAAAAGAAAAGATGATCAGAAGATTCTGCTCATGCAAATACGAAGAATTTTAGCAGTGAGTCTCACAAGACAGTAACATCCTGCCACACGAAGAGTCTGACCAGGTGACCTGTCAGACTCTCTTTTATGACAGGTTTCATGACAAATGGTTATTTTTAAACCAAATGTGTCTTTTCACAGATTGTTTTTACCATCATAAATAGTGGCCTTAAAATTAGTTTTTTAGATGTTTGGGTCTTTTTAGGGTTTTTTTTTCTTAAATTTGCAAGTATTGGTAAAATAGGATCAAAAATTATGCTAACTAAAAGTAAAATATACAGCATTACTTCGACCAAATCTCTAAAAAACTCCTAAAGAACTTTGTGTCATCAAGTTGAAAAAAAAAATCATTGGTTTAAATAGTAATAATTTAAAGAAATTATTTTTGTTATTTTAAACATAATTAAAAAAATTTTTTTTTGCATAGTTGACAACTGGAGGTAATGGAGGTAATACTTTTAAGTTCTTGGAATCTCATAGGAATATCACATGTCAGGGCTAGAAAATAATTAATTTTCTTGTTCAGGCTACTGCTGAAGAAAATATGTTCACTTTGGGCTCTACATTTAAGTAGTTATCAGGATAAATATGTGAGTGGAACCCCATAAACTCGGTTAAAGGGTTATGTTATATTTTTCTTCTCCTTTTTTTGGGGGGGGGGCTAAGCAATGGGGTTGAGTGACTTGCCCAGGGTCACTCAGCTAGTAAGTGTTATGTGTCTGAGGTCGGATTTGAACTCAGGTCCTCCTGACTTCAAGGCCTGTGCTCTATCCACTGTGCCATGCTGCCCCTATGTTAAATTTTTCTAAGAGATGAGTTAAGAGGTTGACAAATCTTCATTCCTTCCCAATTTTTAAATGGGATGTTTAAGGATGATTTAGTGGTGGTCTGCCTAAAGATTGGGTATGAGTTCACAAAGTTCCTTCTAGCTGTAGATTAAGAATATAAAAACTTAAAGCCCATATTTACCTACTTTAGCAACTAAATGTCTGAATTTTGAACATAATTGAAGTGCTGTAATGAATGCTAGTAATGAAGGGAAGACAGATGTAAAGAGAGACATTTTAATACTAATGTTACTTTTGAAAGTAGGAAATAATTTGACATTTCATAGTTTTAACTTGATTTTTGTTCATTGTTTTATAGCACTTTTGGGGTCCAGTAGCCAACTGGGGGCTCCCCATTGCAGCCTTCAATGATATGAAGAAATCTCCAGAGATCATTAGTGGCAGAATGACATTTGGTAAGAATGTGACATTTGAATAATTAGAAAATTGACATGCTTTTTTAAGGGTTTCCAGCCTGTTTTATACTATAGTGTATCAAGTTAGAAATTCAATTTGTTGCATGTTTCTTTTCTGCTCAGGAAGAAGCGGCTTCTGGTGTGTAAAAAGAGGAAAAAAAGAATATTTGCTAAAAATTTATCAGTCTTTTAAAATTTATTTTGAAATCTTTCAAACAAAGTATATGTTGCTATTTAGTTTACTTTGTAATATTTTGTAAGGTCTAACATTGCAATCATTATTAGAGTAGAAAATGGCACAGCAATGGTACTGACACAGGGGAAACATTTTACTCCAGTTTGAAACATTTTAATTACTTACCCACGGTCACACAACCATTAAGTGGAAGTTCTTGGTTCTGAAGACAACTTCAGTTTTCTTTCCACTATACCACACTAACCATTAACCCCATTTTCACAGAATTATAGCATTAGAACAGAAGTTCTGAACCTGGGGTCTGTGAACTTGGTTTTTTGAAATAGCTCGATAGCCTTATTTCAATATAATTGGTTTCCTTTGTGGTTTTGTATATTTTATATTTCTAAAAACATTATTCTGAGAAGGGGTCCATGACTGTCAGCGTAGGAAGGGAGTTTATTGTGTAGTTGTTTCAGACTCTCATTTGGTGTTTTCTTGGCAAAAATACTGGAATGGTTTGCCATTTCCTTCTCCAGCTCATTTTCCGGATGAAGAAACTGAGACAAACAAGCTTAAGTGACTTGCCCAGAGTCACACAGCTATCTGAGGCCAGATTTGAACTCAGGAAGATGAGTCTTCCTGACTCCAGTCCTGGCACTTTATCTTCTTTACCACATGAAGAACTCCTGCTTTGAATGTGGAGGGGCCATGAGTGTCCTCTAGTCTAACTTCATTTTATTGTTGAAGAAACCAAAACCCAGAGGGGCTGAGTGACTTGCCCAAGACCACGTAGCTCGTAAATACAGAATGTCAGCATAAGCTTCCAGACGTGAGCGTGTGTGTGTGTGTGTGTGTGTGTGTGTGTGTGTGTGTGTGTACACATACATACACACTATCTAAGAAAACCTTGATCTCCAAACATTTATAGTGATCATTAATAGGACTCATTGTGCTCACCACCAAATTTTTCTAAGTATTTTTGAGAAGTAAACTAGTCTGTTGGAAATAATGGTCTGCTTGTTTTCTGTAGGTAGTGACCTACCCATCACTGGAGCTATGTAAGCTGAGAGCTGATGACCCTTTTTGGGAGGTGCTCAGTGGGTTGCTCTCTGGTATCTCCCCAACTCACAGGTTCTCTTGTGCTGCTTTTTTGCACAGCCCTTTGTTGTTATTCTTTGACATTCATGAGATTCGCCTACAAGGTGCAGCCTCGGAACTGGCTCCTCTTTGCGTGCCACGCCACGAATGAAGTAGCCCAGCTCATCCAGGGAGGACGCCTTATCAATCACAAGTAAGTCATTGGTTTAGGAGGGAGAAGAAAGAATGTGAACCCTGAACCTCCTGCAGCAGGCATGGTTAGATGTTTGTCAGATGCAGTAGGGCCCTTAGCAGAGGCAGGAGACAGGGCCTACCCAAGTGCTGAGAGAGTTTCATTTAAAGTTTGGCAAACGATACAGCCAGCTTTTTTATGATGCATTAGCTTTGTAAAGTCATTTTTTCAAACAGCCCGGCCATCCTATATTTTTATAAAATTGGGAATTTTAATGAATACTGGTTTAGAAGTATCATTCTTGTTTGGGCCTGAAGTTCAGAGGATTGCCATGTGATCTTGATACTCACTGATTTTCTTTTTCTTTACAGGATGAGTAAAAAAGCTTCTGCTTAACAAAGGGAGGAGAGGTTGTACCTGCTCTGCAGGGACAGCATTTCCAGCAACAGCTGCTGAGACACAGATACCATCACACATGGTCTTGCTAAGGAAGACAACAGCATCTTTTCATTAGCCAGACTTATTTCTTTAGAAAGAGCTGAGAGTACCTAAAATAACTCTTTGCTGCCTTACAATTACTTAACATATTTTCTCTTTTTAAAGAGTAGTTCAAATTATGCAACTAATTTAATGGTCTCAATGATGGTTTTAATCTCAAACAGTATGTATATTAGCTCTTGGTCATGGAATTTATCTTATGAAAAACTGAAGAGAACAAAGCCTGTAACTTTGAGCACTTTGGTACACAGAATATTTGTTTTGTTCTATAATAGTAACAAGTCAACTAGTGGTAGTTGACAAAAAATTTATTTCCAATGAAGTAATTGTTTGAATCAGTTATCTGTGTACTTCCATGCAGTGTGTACGATCAAAATGCTGTAACTGAATTGCAATAAATCACTGAAATATTAAACTTCCTCTGAGGTTATTAACTTATTGATTTCTCTGTTCTCATTCTCCTTGAGTTTTTTGGAACATTCAGCACCATTGAATGGTATAGTACCTGAACTAAGTCTTGGGGGAAAATATTCAGAAAGGTAGGGATAAAGTAGTATATTTCAGAAATGGGAGACAGCCCATGTGCATGCTCAGAGGTGGGAGAAGGAAAGCCCAGGAAGATGGGCAGAATGGGCTCCATTTGTGCTAGAACAGAAGGTGCGTAAACAAAAAAAGCAAAAACAGCCCTTCCCCTTAAAGAGTACACATAAACAGACACCTAACAAAATATAGAACTGAGGAAATGGAAGGTAGTCCTAGACAAGACTCCTCCTTGAGGAGGAAGCCACACTTGATCTGACTTGCAAAGTCCCATTACTTCTCCTTCTATAACTTCTGTCTTTCTCTCTAGTCATGGTGCCGCCACTTATGTTCAGGCTCTCCTTACCTCTAACCTATACCATTGGGATTGCTTCCAGATAGTCTCTCCAGCCTCTCACCCATTTTTAATCTATCACACAGCTGTGAAAAAAAACTTTCACAAAGCTTACATTTGATCATATCCCTCTCCTGCTCTAAAACCTTCAGGGGCTCCCTATTGCTGTTAGGATGAAATGTAAATTCCTCAGTCTGGCACTTAAGACTGTCCAAAATCAGATTCCAACCTACCTTTCCAGACTTATGTCACTTTACTATCTTTTATATACACTTATGTTCTAGAAAACCTGGACTACTAGCTATTCCTCCAGTTTCAATCTATTCTCTTCTACCTTGTGCATGTCACAAACTGTCCCCCATTCCTGAAGTGTACTACTTCATCCTTTCAAAATTCTTTTTCATCAAGGCTTAGCTCAAGTATTGCTGCTTCCTGTCCCATCCCCTTCTGGTTAAAAATAATCTCTCAGATTTTCCTAAAGCACTATTCATGTATCTCTGTCTCTTGTTTCTCATCTCCTACACACCTTACCTTATAATTGCCTGTATTCATATCATTCTCTACCTTTCACCCTATATTTTACCTGGCTCCAGCATCTTGTACTTAATAAATATAGTGGGGTTTTAAAATTGAATGTGTGCATAAAGAGATATTTCCACAGGCTACTTATGGAGAAAGTGTTAGCACAAAGAAGTGACTCTCCAATGGTAGAATTTGACGAGAACAAGCCATGGAGTAGAGATTTTGGGAAAAGAGTTATTCAAGAACACAAATCACACCCTTTCTAGAAAGAGATCTAAGTTAGCGCTAGGATTTGTGATCAGTGAAAACTGCCCTCATAATCTTTTTATGCCTCAAAAGTCTTTTGGGTACAAAGTTTGAGAAGATAGTTGTAGAAGCTTATTCCTCTGGAGTGGAGTAATGAATTGTCATAATGGAAAGAGCTCTATCTAGCCCAGCAATCAGGTGATCTGAGTTCTCAGCTGCTCCAGCTCTGTGGGCTGTGATTTAGAACCAAAAAGGACCTGAGAGATGGTCTCATTCCACCCCATCACTTTACAAATGAAGAAATGGCCAGGCAGAGGTAGGATTGGAACCCAGGTCCTTCGATACCAAACTTGATCCTTTTTAACAACACGCTTTTGACATGACTTGTGGCTAAAATGTTTTCCTGCGAAAAAGATGTTCAATTTTATGTAACAAAGAGCTGCTGCCTGGTCCAGATGAACGAAGTACTGGGCCCTCTCCTTTCTCCACTAAAAGGCCCCTCTGCTCAGTGGGATCCATGGACGTGATGGAGCCCAACTCACATCCTTTGGGCCCACTATGCCAGAAAATGTTTTAAACTCTAAATTTTGGCTCGAGTCTGCCCCCGAAAGGTAAGTGAGTAGAAGACAGTGGATAGCATGTATCAGGTATGAAACAGGAATTTATTTCCTCTACACAAAAGAAATGCTAAGAGAAAACTGAAGCAATTGGGGGAATTCTCCCATTCTTGTTCATTGACAGGAATTAAGCAATCAATAGGGCAGCTGATGGCTCCAGTGCCAGGCCATGAGTCAGGAAGACTCATCTTCCTGAGTTCAAATCTGGCCTCAGACACTTATTAGCTGTGTGACCCTGAGCAAATCATTTAACCCTGCTTGCCTCAGTTCCTCATCTGTAAAATGAGCTAGAGAAGGAAATGGCGGACTGCTCCAGTATCTTTGCCAAGAAAACCTGGAATGTGGTCATAAAAGAGAAGGACACAACTGAACAACAACAGAAAGCAACCTAAGTGTGGTCGCAAATCTGTTGAGAAGTCAGATCATAAAATCAGAACATGAGTCTGTGGGTCTAAGGAATAAGCATTCCACATTTCTCCTCAGCCCTGCCATTATCCCACCATCCCCTACCATGGCAGTTGTCTTCTGGCAAGGTGGTCTAGGGTTTGAGTTTATTCTCCTGCACTGGAGTAGTGGTTGCTTGGGGACTCCCTTCCCTCCGCCACCTTTAGCTCTCACCAAAGGACCCAGTATCTCCCAAATTCTCAAACTCCCAAGAGAACTCCCAAGCCTAGAGACATCCATCCCAGGATGGATGCTCATTCACTTGAGATTAGGAAACATACAGAGCACAAGATTGAGCTCATGTAGATAGAACATGAGCTTCAGCTGTCTTTCCTTTCATTCTTTTTTTTTTTTTTAATTTTTAAGCAATTGGGGTTAAGTGGCTTGCTCAGGGTCACATAACTAGTAAGTGTCTAGTGTTTGGTCTGAGGCTGGATTTGAACTCAGGTCCTCCCAACTCCAAGGCCGGTTTTCTATCCACTGTGCCACCTAGCTGCCCCCCTTCCTTTCATTCTTTATAGCAGCCCCCCCACCCACAGATGAACTAAAATCGAAATCATTCTGGGGTCAAGGTATTTGTGGATAGAACCCTGGTCTTGGAACCAGAAAGACTCATCTTTGTGAGTTCAAATCCAGCCTTAGACACTAGCAGTGTGACCCTGGGCAAGTCACTTAACCTCTGTTTCCCTCAGTTTCCTCAACTGTAAAATAGGGGTAATAACAGACCTACCTTCCAGGATTGTTGTAAGGAACAAATGAGATATTTGTACAAAGTGCTTAGCCCAATGCTTGGCAAGTATTAAATGCCATATAAATGCTTACTCCCTTTTTCTCCTACTAGAACCTTAAACATTGATGGTTATTCAGTTGTTAACAAACATCCTGGCTGAAGCAGGACCTTAACTAAAGATATCATTGTCCTGTGTTGGAGATAACCAGAAACACCAAAGATTATTCAAATTCTCAGGTCGGGGGCCTTGCCAGTCTTAGCCAGGTATGTGGAGCTCAGGCAGAAATCAGCCCAGAGGATCCTACAAATGATATCTCACACATTATTGGACTTATGATTCCAACACATTACATTGTAAAAGAAACGTTACATCCATCCATGTATCAAGGCTTTGTATACCTACCCAAGAACATCATACTTCAATCAGTAGAGACATTTCCATGTATATCATAAGCCAAGAGGCATGAGAGGAACATGGTAGTCAGAGTACTAATCCTCCCTCCAACACTTACTGCCTGTATGACCTGGGGCAAGTCCCTTAAGCTTTTTGGGCCTCGATTTCCTGTTCTGTAAAATGAGCCCATTGGACTGGTGGTCTCAAAAGTACTTGGCAGGTCAATCTCTAGGCACTTCCTAGTAGGGTGGCCCTGTAAATAAGCAGGTTGAACAAGACAACTTCTGAGGTCCCTTCCAATTCCAGAGTTATGATCCTTCAAAAGCCAGAGATTGGGTCTACCCTAAACTATGTATCAGTATCTTGAACAAGTTTTTCCAGTATATTCTCAGACTGTTACTGCTCTGGTGCCCAATAAAGCCCCTCAAAATATTATTATATGTACTATGAGCCAGAGTGCATGCTTTCAAACCCCATTACTAAGATGTCACAGAATAGATTGGTGCAAAATTAATTTTTAAATATACTTTTAAAACACTACCATTACTCTATGTCCAAATTTGCTAATTACTAACTACATATATACATCTCCTCTAGCTAGAATTAAGTATTTTCCCTTGAATTTAGAAAAGCTGCCTTAGTATTTTTCTTTTGATTAAAAAAAAAAAAACCTGCACACTTAAAAAAAATCCACAAAACTGAAAAAAAAAATCAAACAAGTTCTTAGTGATTTCCAAAATAAGATATATGATAATTATTCAATACTGGCGTTTGATGTCATCTATAAAGGTAGCTTCCTTTCACTGTAATGTAACAAGATCCATAAAAGAGTTCTTTGTGAAGTTGGTGCCAATTATATATGACTTTCTACACAGCTAAAAAGTGCTCCTGCCTAGATCTCTGAGCTCTGGCTCCAAGGCCCCAGGCTTCCTGCATAGCCAGAATTGAGCAAAGAGTTGTGAAATGAATGAACTTCTGCTTTGTCATCTTCCTCTGGTTAGATTTGGGCTTTGGTTGACTTTTGTCCAGTCTTTTATCTCATTGGATTAGGTTCAGATAATCTTATCTCTAGAGTTGGTGTAGGGAAACAAACCATTACAGGTCATCTATTACAACCTTCACATTTTGTGTTTTGTTTTGTTTAGGGGGCAGGGGATTGAGATTGGGTCTCCTCATCTGGCCCAGGCTGCAGAGGTCTGCAGAGGCCCAGTTCCACTGCTGATTGGCATAGAAGCTCTGGACTTGCTCCATTTCCTATCCCAGCCAGTTCAGCCCTTCTTACGCATGGCTCTCTGCTCCCTGAGGTGCACTATATTGGGGCCCAGCTTAGTATGATCCTCCCATCAGCTTCAGCCCTCCTGTATTTCAAAACTTTCTAGCTCAAGTGATTACCCAGCCTCAGGCTCTCCAGTAGCAGGGGGTTACAGGGATGCTCCACCATGCTGAGCCAACTTTCTCATTTCTAACAAATGAGAAAAGTGAAGCCCAGAGAGACCTAAGTTAATTGTCCAAGGTTACACAGGTAGTAAATATCAGAGTCAGGATTTGAACCCTGGTCCTCTGGCTTCAAAGCTAGTGCTCTTTCCATGGTA